CCTGCCCCTGAAAGAAGGAGACCTGCCTGGGAGCCCTATTTGTAGTTTTGCTGCTTTCTTCCCCACCCCAGCCCCTCCTTTCTTAAACCATTAGGTACCAATGGATACCAGATACACAGCACTGGATAAGAAGGTTAAGAGATAGGATCAGTAGAGTTTCCCACCAAGGCTAGCTAATAGCACAGTGGCCCATTAGAAAGCGTTTCTGCCGTGTGGGAATCCTAATCCGCTCTTATCAGACCTCTGGCTTCATCCCTTATCAGGAGCTTGGATTGAGAGGTACATCAGCTATACCACAGGATGCTTTCTGGGGCCCCTGCCCACAACGAAGCACAGAAAAAAAAAAAAAAAAAGCCATGCCTGCCAGGCCAGAGGGAAGCTTTCACCATAGCAACACATGTTATGCCACAAACAGTCGGGACTGAGTCGCTCTGCTGTGACCAGCCTGGATAGGGGCTCTGAGAAAGAAGCCACTGGGGGTTCACAGGACAGAGACAGCAAGAGAAGAGACACCTCTTTAGCTTCTAGGGCGATTTCCTTGTAGTCTTTATTGCTCCAGAGCTGACTCTGGCAGCACCGAGACCCCCTGGAACCCACACCCTGTGTTCTAAGTAGACAAATGTCCGAGAGGAAAAACGTGTTGTGTGTGCACAGCCACAGCCCAGGGATCCTTTGGGGAAGGGGGAATTAGGGGACCCAGGGTCAGTCATTTGGACGGGAGAATTTAGGAGAAAGGTATCCATCTCAAAATGCGTCATTCCTACAATGACACAGAGCCAGGGCCCTAAATGAGAGGTCTAGGAGCAGAAAGCAGACCCTGAGAGCCAACGGTGACCCGTGCGACTGTGGAAGAATAGGGGAAGCACCCCTGTGCTGGGGGATCTTTAACATATCAGTCTTCATCTCGTACTTGAGATCAAAATTTCACCACCTGACCAATAGCGTCCTTCACTTTTGCCAAGGGAAGAATAATAAATATTCCCCTTCATCCCATAGGCGAGGGTTAAACTGGAATCCTGATCAAGAAAAGCTCAAACACAAGCTTCTGGTCTGTTGCTCGAATCACTGAGTTCCACATACAGAAATTCACCCAAGCAAGACACCCATGAGAAGGAGGGAATCCTGGGGGCCTTGAGCATCCCTAGCAGACTGCTGTTTCAAGCTCCTGGACTGGAGGCAAAAGTCAGAAATTATAAAAACTGACAAAGTAACATCTCCAAAAGTGCATTAGAAATTAGAAAGAAAACAGACCTGACATCCACAGGTGTACCTATGAGCCACTAACACGCTTCTATTAACTGAGAAGAATCTTTTCACAATGCATAACGTTTCTTTTCACCTAGCATCAGGAGACAGGACTGCCTGTCTGGTTGCAGGCTGTGACACCCACAGGTACATCCATGAGTATGAACTGATGCCACAGACCCACGCCCCGCCCCAGTCCAAACACTTATGACACCTGCAATGGGCTTCCATTATATGAACTGCAGATACTTCTTCCTGACAAGTCTGCCATGGGGTCGGGAACAGGAAAGAAAGCAGTTCCTGGAAGAAAGGAACCCGCTCCCACACCTGCCTCAGAAATAAGTTTAAAAGCCCAACCTAGTTACCATTCCCAAACTCCTCTGCATCCTAAACCCTTCCATCCTCATCACAGCCGATACAAACACCAAACACGAAACCGACAAATGGCCCTCAGAACCTCAGAAACATTTCCCCAGCAGCTGCAGAAAACGAAGAAGAAACTAGTTTCTCTCTTGAGATGACGGTTTCAAGGTGGTACAGAAATTGCTTCCTCTGCTGCGGGCGCCCCTACTCCTCACTCTCCGGTCGCTAATGAAAGAGTTGTCCTCTTTGCTGCTTGTTTCAGGTTAGAAACGTGGCACAGGGCACTGGAAGCGAAGGGGAGGGGAGGGGTGGCTCCTTTCAAATCTGACTTATCCACACATCCCAACTGGCCACCCACACCCTGAAGAACCACACTCCACCTAAGAAAGTCCGAACTGTGGAGAAGAAAACGGCCTCTAGCACCCGAAGCAGGGTTAAGAAAGAGAAAGCTGGAAAGGAAGGGGGGGGGGGGATAAAGTTCCACATTCCTGACATTTTTTAGCCAAGTGCAGCGGCTGCACAGAACAGCTCTACTCCAAACAGACATGAGATGGGACAAAACCTGGGATGGGGAAGAAGCTGCCCCTGCTTTGGAAATAAGACAACCCAAAACTAAACTAAAAATGCGTCGGAGTGTGGCTTGGAGGAACAGGGGCCAGACAGTCTTTCATGTGTTCCCAAAAGGAAGTGATCCCAAGGGAAGGAATTTGGCGTCAACATCTCCCTAAAGACAGAACTGAAGCCCTGGGGACCCTGAGAGGGAAATCAAAACACAGGACGGCTGCAGAGGTGACTAGCAAGGGAAGGTGGATGTGGATATGAAGTCTGCGGCTTGCCAGAGTGTGGGGAGGGGGTCTAGGAAACAGCAGAGACTAGGCAGGGGACTTTTGGGAGGGGGTGATGACGAAAGTCATATTCTATTTGAAGAGTTAAAATACAGCTTTCCTGGCTCAGCTTCCCAAATCAAGGAACCCTAGCCTGGCCCAAGATTCAAATCCAGGGGTCTGATGGCTTTTATCCCTGCTCCCCTACAGCTCCCTCTGTCCTCACTTCTAGAGAAACCTTCCTAATAGATGTCTACACATACACACACAGACACACAGACACACACACAATCTCTTTACAGTCAGTGGGTGAGAATGGACGGTGAAGACCTACTACACACTCGGCACAGATCAGGAACCTTTGAAGAGGAGGTTCAGGAGAGAGCCCCCTTCCTCCTAAACCAGCTCAGACTGGTGCTAAGTCCTCAAAGCGTCTTCTGAAAGAAACATCTGTCCTGTGAGTCCCAAAGGGCTAAAATACCACAGAAAAAGATGGGGCAGTGGAAAGAGTGATATCTCCACCAAGTCTGGTCTACGACCCTAAGGCCACTTGAAGGAAAATGGCTTTCTTTTTTTCTCACCTCGGTCCTTTCTCTTCCATCAGGTACTACCAATGACAATTCCTGACGTGGCAGATTCCACAGACCTAAGGCAAAGGACTTCCTGCAAGGCTAAAGATAACGAACAAAGGAGGCAGGAGTGCAAACACTAGGCGTCTCTTTTTGCACAACACGAAGGCAGGAAAACCCAAAAATCTTAACAAACACTACAGATAGTAGAGCCACGGACTAAGCAAGAGGCTGTGGCCAGCTGCGGAGCACATGGCTACGAGGTTTATGATTGACACATGTGTCATTCCAACCCTACCCTTCAAGAACTGGAGCAAGGCCCTGAGAAGTCTCTTAGAATGGAGGACAACAAAATAGACAGAAAGCAAACGCTAAGCAGAGCAGGTCCTCTGCTTTCTCAATAAGCCACTATGTTAAATAATAAGAAGGGTCCAGGAGTAAGAAACAGATTCTCTCACTGATAAGGAGGAATGGCTTTTGTTGGTGATACAACCTCGGCCTAAAGCTTTACACCGCTGTAAGGAAGACCGTTTTTAATGGGTTCTTCAATGATGGGGAAACTGAGGCTGCAATCAGTCTTCAATGGAACAGTCTTCTCCAGAAGCTCAAGGGAAACATGAGGGGAGGGGAGGGGAGGAGAGGGGAGGGAAGGGGGAGAGGGGAGAGGGGAGGGGAGGGGGGAGAGTGACCTGATAGCATTACTGATAGAGTGTGCACCCCAGTCATATCTTCTCTCCTGCAAACCCTTCAGCCTGGCCAAGGGCATGCATCCAGCCAAGAGCTGGCCACCAGAAGAGGCCCCCCACTACTAGAGGGCAGCAGGTTCATCAGCCAAATAGGACCTGTGTCAGTAACAGAAGGGAGACGCGGGTAGCTGTAGGGATGGCCGGGCAACTTTTAAATGGTACGGCTTCTTAATAGCCTTCAGAATGCAGATCAGCAACCTTACCCCCGAAGGGAGGACAGGAGCTTTGGGACCAGGAGGCTACAGTAAGAGTGAGGGAGTGTATCACATCTCACACACACACACACACACACACACACACACCACAGCAAACCCATACTCAGTGTCCTCCAGTCCTTCCCACTTTTCAGTTTCATCGTTTTCCCCACTCTGTAGTAGGGACCACCAGCCCCTTGGATTCTGACCCCTTGGTTTACACAGACAGTTCGGAGGCCTACACCAGCACACTGCTGATGTAGATTTAGAGTTCCGTCCTCTGCTCCCACCCCATTCGCCTGAGGCTACAAGAGAATCACCTTTCACCTAAAAGCAGAGGGTATCCCCGCCCCTCTCCTCGAACCTGAAAAGGGGGGGATGAGGTTCTGGGTCTATTTCACACATCCATCCATAGGGAGAGACCAACAGACCAAAGTGCCAAAGGATATCTTAAAACTAACGCTTTAGGTCATAATTAAAGAGAGGTAGGTTGTAGAAGACCCCCACTGGAATGGAGCCGGGGCCACATGTGAACACCTGGAGCAAGCTCCAGAGGTTAGGATGAAGAACGCCCAGAAAGCCACAGAAAAGGTGAAGGGTTAGGGTCCCTCCTACTAGAAGAACCTAGAAGATCTGGCGGCCCCTACTTGGGAGGAGGGGGGAATTGTGCAATTACTGTGGGTCTGGGAGTCTCCCAGCTTGGCACCAGGACGCCAGAAAGGAAACCCCAGTCCTGGGGCCAAGAAGGCAGCGCTGCGATTGGTTCGAGGCCAGGCGTGGGTTTCAGAGATGCAGAGAGACAGTTGCAGGGTACCATGGGTGCCCAAGGGGGCGACAGAGCATGGCATGGCCCGAACAGCCAGGAGCTAGGGGTGCTTGTCCATCATGTCCTAGGTCCAGGCCAGGGTGGATACAGTGCACAAAGCCAGAGGTGCAGATAACGTGCGGGACAGCCAGGCACGCTCCAGGCCAGATGAGGCCAGGGAATCCCTGTCTTCACCGCGGTGTCCTGGAGATGGGACCGCCTGCCCCTGCAGTACCCCTCCCCGCTTTACTCACCTCAAACATAAGCCCGATGAGGACGCAGAGCACCAAGCAGAAGCCGATGTCTGCATGGTTGTGGATGACGAACTCCTGGCTGAAGAGTGGGTAACTTTTCGTCCTCCTACGGAAAGCCATGGCAGCGGGCGTGCACTGCTTGCGGGGGCCCGCACCCTCGCTCAGCAGCCGCAGCGAAAACTTCTCCTCCGGCCCGGCCCGGTCCGCCCGCCAGCCCCGCTGCCCAGCGCGGAACAACTTCGGGCCCCGCCCCCTTCCTCCGACCGCCCCGCCCCCAGCCTGCCGCCCGGAACCGCCCCTGGCCACAGCCCGCTCCCCGCCGCGGCCGCACAGGCGCGGACCTCTGGCCACGCCCCCTTCCTCCGACCGCCCCGCCCCCGGGCCGCAAAGGCGCGCGCTCCAACCACGCCCCCGTCCTCCGTCCGTCCCGCCCCCAAACCCCAGTAGCTGGCGCCGCCGACCACGCCCCCTGAGCGAGCCAGGAGCACTTAACCCTCTGGTCTTGCCCAGGTTGCGGTTTCGGCCGGGGTACACAGGGGTGACCCTTGCTGAGTCGCCGGAATAGAAGCCCTGTCCTCCGGCTCCGATAGGAGGCGGTGCCCGCGCAGCCGGACAGGAAGTGGGCCTGGACCCCACTCCTCGCTCCCGGCTTCTTCCTCCGCAGGAAGGGCCCGGAGCGGGAAGCTTTGTGCTGGCCTGCTTGCTGGCCTCAGCCCCGCACTGGATCTTAAATGAATGCTTGGCTACTCCAGTGTTGAGGGCTTGAACAAGGCTAGGTTCAACCGCTCAGAACCTCCCTGCAGCTCCCCAAAGGCCCTGCCCTTGTAGGGCCTACTTTGCAGTGGGGTGCAGGTAGCTAAGGTTTGACACCCCACCCCATTTAAAAGACCAGGTGTTACCCTGAATTAGTTCTCCAAGTCTCACCCAAAATCTACTAGTCAGTATTAATTGATTAGATGTGGAAGAATAAACACTGAAGAAACAAAAAAACTTTCTCATCCAAAGTTTCCATTTAATCATTAAGTTTTTAAAATACTTCCGGAAGGACAAAAGGTCTTTTAAAATAAATTATACTGGCAAATATTGGATTTAATCCTGCCAGTAATGAAGGAGCAACTAATCACTTCTAAATGTACAGAAATGCAAAATGAACAAAGAACTGTTTAATTTCTTTTTTAAAATTAGTTCCACAGTTATTTCGCTTCTGAGTAAATATGAATTGGCAAAAAAAAAAATGGCAGCGTCTGAGGGCAACTGGAACTGAATGGAGTTCCTAGAGAAATTTACCTTCTATATCCTATATTGCGCACTATTTAGTATACAGCCCTGGGCCTTCAAACTCCCAGGGAAACAGAAAAAACATATTAATGCCTATATTGAACTAACATTTGTTTAATGCCAAGACTGGTGTGTGTGTATGTCTGTCTGTCTGTCTGTCTGTCTGTCTGTCTGTCTGTGTTTGGTTTGTGATGTATAGGGGTGCACATGCACGAGCTCACACGTTAGAACATTTTCATGCAGACATTCACTCCACGTGGAGATCAGCTGACCCTGCAGGCCTCACCTTCCTTGTTGATCCAAGGTCTCTCTTCTTGTTGGTTTTCCGATGATGTAGCCCAGGTTAGCTACTCCCCTTGCTTCTGAACACTTTTCTGTCTCTGCCTCCCTTCCCCCAGTAGAAATGTTCCTGCTATGTGGCCAACTCTTACACTGGTTCTAGGGATTCAAACTTAGGCTCTCATGCTTGCATAACTATGCAATCATTTCACTCACTGAACCGGCCCCCCAACCAAGACTCTTCTAAAACTGGTCCCCAGCCTTTCGAAGAAAAGGATTAAGAACTCTGGAGCAGCTTGACTTTCTATGTAGACCTGTTCTAATGGTCAAATTGCAACCCAGCCAATCAGTCTGAGCCCTGGGAAAGTGAGTTCTTAAATGAAAACTGGAATCCTAGTATTTGAAATGATGCTACCTAACTGTCCCCCCGCATCCCACAATGATTTGTAGGAATTCCCTTCAAATGTGTAATAGTGTCAATCTAACCTCAATACTTAAGATCAAAAACCCCGGGAAAACAGACAGTAGAGGTTCCCCATTTATAAATAAGACACCTGCAATAAAAGAGATGGCTTAGACGATACTCTTGCTGCTGATAGCCAGTCCTTCTTCCCTTTGAAATACAGTTGAACAGTCAGACATAAGATTCTGAGATGAGGTTTGATAGTGAGTGCATTGCATTGACACCAATAGAGGAAGTGCTGAAAGTTGCCTTCAACCATCTTGGCTGTCTCTAAACTGCTCAAGCCATCTTAATACAAATCATGAGTTAAGTATTTCCCCAAATATTTTTTTAATTTTTGGGTTTTTTTTTTATTGTGACAGGTTTCGCTAAGCAACAGTTCTGGCTGTCCTGGAACTCCCTTTGTAAACCAGACTGTCCTCGAACCCACAGAGATCTGCCTGCCTCTGCCTCCTAAATGCTGCGATTAAAGGCATGTGCCACCACTGCCCAACTCTCTGCACTTTCAACACACACTCAATACTGAGAATTGATGGCATCCCAGATTTTGCAAAAAACTTTGCAAGCCTATTCCCAACTCTTCTTATTCACTCAGAGTCCTGTAAACTCTTATGGCAGAATTTCTCTCACCCATCCTCATCTCCATCATTCTACACATGAGCCCCACATATCACCCGTGTATTTCTCTAACTTCATTATTATCCTGTTTATTACCCATTTCGTCTGGAATGTCCATGGGCATCTACCACATGGCAAACACCTTAGTTAGAGAACAAAGACATATGACAACCTAGGTGTGGTGGTTTTATATGTCTTCAAATCCAAATGTGTGTTAAACTTCTCTTGAACGTAGGCTAGACTTTATAGACAGAAGTTCTTATCCTGTAGAGTCCCCCAGCCGTTCAGTCCTAAGTAAACACAGAGGCTTGTGTTAATTATAAACTGTTTGGCCTATTGCTCAGGCTTATTACTAACTAGCTCATAATTCTTGTCTGTGCTTAGTCATGTGGCTTGGTACCTTTGCAGTGAGGCATTCTCATCTTGCTTCCTCTGCGTCTGGCTGGTGACTGCCTCTCTGCATTTCCTCTTCCCAGAATTCTCCTAGTCTGGTTTCCTGCCTATATTTCCTGCCTGGCTACTGGCCAATCAGCATTTTATTACACCAATATGAGTGACAAATCTTTACAGAGTACAAGAGCATTATCCCACAGCAAGACTTACTGTGGTTACTTCTAACAGAAAATGATATGTGATTTTTTTTTTCTTTTCCCTCTAATACTAGGTTCTAAAAGGTCGTTTGAGTTTCTCCTTTAGCTTGGATCTGCCTCTCTGGGAGAAACCAGCTGCCATATTTCGTGTATACTCAAAGACATATAGCAAGAGTTCACCTGGCAACATCTGAAATCTGCTGCCAGGAACCAGTGCTGGCATCATACATGCGAAGGAGCAATTTTGAAAGCAGATTGTTCAACCCTATGAGTCCTGTAGCTACCCTCTTGACCACAGTCTGTAAATCACCCTGAGCTAGAACTGGCCAGGTATAAGCCACGCCTACATTCCTGCCCCACTGCAATGATAAGATAATAAGAATTTGATATTTAAAGGCATCAAATTTCCTCATTTGATTTGTAGCAACAGGTAACGAATACACATTGCTGCAGCTTCCAGTCCTTTTTAGAAAATAAAGACATCATTACAATTGAATGGGATGGTAGTGGCCATCTAATAATTTATAATATGTACACTATGAGTATAAAGACTCATTTTGATTATGCTCTAAAAAAAGAGGACATTTGGGCTGGGTCTTTATCTGCACACATTTTACTGATAGAGAATGCAGGCCATGTGCGGAGGTGCACATCTGTTTTCTCAACCCTCTGGAAGATGACACAGGAGGACTGAGAGTTCAAGACCAGCCTGAGCTACTTAGATAGGCTTTCTCTCAAAACAAAATGGGAAAGGGAAAAAGGCAGGGGGAGGGAGGGAGGGAGGGAGGGAGGGAGGGAGAGAGGGAGGGAGAGAGAGAGAGAGAGAGAATGTAGAAACAGGGAAACAAATTTGGAGAGAGATGGAATTGGATTGAGAATTGTGCTAAGGATTGTGACTTTATTCTGCAAGAAATCTTAAAACATGCTTGCATCCCAACACTGAAGAGGCTAAGTCAGGTAGGAAGATTACTATGAGTTTCAGACCAGCCCGGGCTACTCAGTTTGTTCTAGCTTAGACAACATTACTGATTGAGAACCTGCTTCAAAACAAATAAGTCATTTTAAAAAGAAGAAAAACTCTGATATAGAAGAGGGACCTCAGTGTGGGCAGGCATGCTGGTACCTCTGGAAGTGGGAGAATAATAACCCCTTACACATACATTGCACTCTGCTGATGCCCTGTGAGGAAGAACGACAGTGGTTGCCAACCTCTTCCTCTGGCTGTGCCAAGGCACAAGGATGCCCAGGGGCCACGTAATTAGCAGGTGGCGAACCTGGACTAGATGCTTGAGTCCGTCTCTCAGGGCCTAGTTCCAGGTAAGGGTCCACACTGCTGCTTGGGAAGCCTTCTAGAGATCTCATTGTAAGGACCCAGTGCCGGCTACCCACAGTTAGACTACATCGAAAGCTATCTCGTCACCCCCTCTGAAGCTCTGGGAAGAACACAGAAGAGGGGGTAGAAAGAATGTAAGACCAAGTTTGGGGCAGATGTCTTCTGGGTATGACAAAGCAGGCACAACCATGAATTCACCGCAGCTGCATTAATCTGCACAGGCCCTGCACAAGATTGGACACATTAACATTTTGCTACGGATAGGGGAGGGGGCCATGACACCTCACTCCTCCCATTGGCAAGAAATGGTAGTAGGAGGAGGGGTGTCTTCTTCTGTCGTGTAGCCATTGTTAAGTTGCTCTAGCTCTACAAAATAACCCATCAGCTGAACACCCCCCGCCAAGCAGGATCCTAAACAAGCCCTTCCTCCTTTGAACTCATTCTTGAAGTAGAGAAAGAGATGGCAGGGCAAGAACGTCACCCTAGATGGCTGTCATGTTGATAGAGAGCAAAGTTCAAGAATCCGTGGAGTGTTGAATTCATGAGCGAAGGAGAAACAGTTTTACTGTGGACTCTATAAAAGCTGACCACTGACCACTGCTTCTGGCCTTGTCTACATAGAGCACATCATGACTCCCACCCCTCTCCCCCTTTCTGACAGGGTCCTGTCTACCCGGGAAC